TCTGAAAATACCTCAATCATATCACTTTTCTTCTTGATGAGGTAAGTCCACAACTTTCGATTGTACTCATCTATAAACGTGACAAAGTATCTATTGCCACCAAACGAATCCACCTGGATTGGACCACATACATCAGAGTATATGACTTCAAGTATTGCCTTCGACTTCCTTCCTGCATCCTTGTTGAAGCTATTCTTGTGTTGTTTTGACTGAACACACTCCTCACATACTTCACTTAGAATGTCGATTTCTGGTAATCCTGAAACCGTATTTCTTCTCTTCAGTTATCTGATGTCATTAAAGTTCATATGACCTAGTCAAAAATGTCATAACCACTTATCTTTGTTGGCTGCAGTTGCTAGACATTTGTGCTACATTGCATTGAGTTCAATCTTGAAGGTTCTATTCTGAGACATCGGAGCCTTCAATATTAATCTACTACCTGCGTCGAGAACTTTCATCATCTTGTCTTCGACAACTACCTTGTAGTTCTTTTCGACAAGCTGCCCTATACTGAGAAAATTACTCTTCATGCCTGGTATGTACAACACATTGGAAATTGTTGACCTTTTTCCATCTTTCCTCATAATTTGAACATCACCAACACCTTCAACTGCTAGAGTGTTGTCATTTGCAAACTTCACTGTGTTCTTCGATGAAGGCTTCATGTTGACAAATCAATTTTTCCTTCCAGTAATGTGTGATGAGCATCATGAGTCCAAGTACCACTGATCTTGGAAACTTTCTTCATCTTTTGTTGTGACCATTAGCAACGTTTCTTCTTCTTCATGTTTCGCCAGCTTTGCATCACTATCTTGATTTCTCTTCCTTTCTGGACAATCACTAACATAATGACCATACTTCTGGAAATTGAAACATTGAATGTGGCTTTTGTCTGTCTTTCGACCACCATCTCTTCCTTTACCTGCAACACCGCCTCTTTGGTTGCCTTGGTTCCAAGCTTTCTTCTGATTCGACTGGTTTCCTCCTTTGTTACCATTCCAGCTACCTTTGCCTTTTCTTTCCTTTTCTGAATGTGTCTGCAAATCCATATCTTTCGACTTTCCTGCAGCTCTCTCAGCCATCCTCTATTCATGAGACTCAAAAGTCCCTTGAAGCTCTTCCTTCGTCAACACTGACAGATCTTTCGACTCTTCTATGGCAACTACCACGTGGTCGAATTTTGGAGCCAACAATCTCAAAATCTTTGAGACAACTGCTTTCGTCATTAGCGCTTCTCCACATACTTTGATTTGATTCACCAACTTTGTAACTTTGGTGAAGAAATTTATAATGCTTTCATTGTCTTCCATCTGAGGCTACTCATAGGTTCTCTTGTGAGTTTGTAACCTCACCTCTTTCACCTTCTCTGCACCTCCAAACGACTTTTCAAGAATCTCCCATGTTTCTTTTGCTGAATCAACATCACTAACCTTTTGAAAGTTATCAGGATCAACACACTGATGATATATAAAGAGTGCTTTATAATATTTCTTCTTCAATTCTTTGTGCGTAGCCTTTTCTGCCTCCTTTGCGTTCTCCCCAAGTGATGTTACTCTGTCCTTCACAAGATCCCAAAGATCTTGATAACAGAAAATCACCTTAATCTGCTTGCACCAATTCTCTTAATTGTCTTTCTTGAGAATTGGCAGGGTCGTCGGAAAGTTGCAGTTCGGATAGTTCATCGCCATCGCTATCTTTCTTTCTTGAATCTCTCAACCAGAGGTCTAGATACTAGATGTTGGAAATTCACCTCAAACCCTATGAAGAATTCTCTTTAATCTTGATCTCGAGATTGATGAACAAACCCACAATATGATAGTAATGGTGATAACAAGTAAAGAGTTAACAAGAACAGCAAAAGAGAAGAAGAATAACAAACAAACAGCAAGAAAGAGAAGAATGAGAGAAGAAATATTTGGAGAAAATTGTGTTACCCACAAATTGTGGGATTTTTTATTAATATGATATCTCGTACCGTTAATTTAAAAATTTCAATTAAATATAGTTGATTACACAAGAGTGATTAATTGATAGTGTAAAACAATTTTACACTATTAGTAGTACATGCCAATTAAATTCAAAAAATTATTTGTTATTGTATCCGTGCAATTAAGTAATGCTTTTTTTAGGTTTAGATAATTAATTGTGTTTGCTTGAGATAGACTTTGTTTTTTGTTTTATTAATTAGTTAAATAGCAATTTGAGTGTATGGTTGTATTATTATTCAATAATAATTTCTTCTTTTTATAGGTGATAAATGTATGACAATAATATTATTCAATAATAGTTTCTTTTTTTATAGCTGATAAATGTAAGAAAATAAAAAAGGCAAGTCAATAACTTGTGAAAAATGTTATTTCTCTAATAAATTGAAAAATATGTATCCAAGAAAGTTTTTCTACCTTAAGGGGAGATAGAGATTTCAAACTCATCTAAAAAAATATCACTCTTAACTAGTCACATTGTCCTTTTCAATTTTATTATGATGCCACCATGACACTTCAATGATATCAATCATTTTTATTCACACTTTATTTTTTGTTAGATTTTTTAATGACCTATCACTTATCATTACAGTTTTACAATCACCAACACCATTCCTTCCACTTTTTGACATATTCAATCAAATATCCAATCCATACTCTACATATGAACCTCTAAAAAAAAAGGAAAAAACAATATTCTCTTCAAAAAATTAAAGACAATAGCAACTTCTTTTATTTAAGCACTTTGTGTTAGCTTGGATATAGCCACTAACATACTTCAAGATTACTGATAATAACTGTGTCTCTTCAAAAGCATTAAAGTTTTTCATTCAAGGGTTGACGGTAGCCAAATAAAAAAGACACAGAGATACAATATTCTGATAAAATAAACATAAATTTAAATTATGAAAGTTGTACTTTTATTTGATTTTGCATTTGTTATTATCTTATTTATTTTACCATAATCTAAAAAAAATCATTTATTTATTTATTTTTTAACAATTAGTTCAAATAATAAATAAAATTGGTGAAGATTGGTCGGCATTATTTAAAAAGGTTCATCAATATGATGTAACATTACATTATGAGTTGATAAGTGGAATGCTCATAGAACTTGTTCAATTTAGTTGTTCAAATTTTTTCTACTTTGAAGAGACATAAAAATTTTATGTTGAAAATAGTATAAAAGATATATTTATACATAATAGTATTAACCGGGAAAAAAATATTCTAAACCACCTATTTTCGATGTAAGACACACAAATTTTATATTAAGTCCTAAGATTGATGGGAGCTGATTAATATATACTTTGAATTATTTATATGAAATAAATCTTTGAATTATTTATCTAAAATAAATCTTGTTTTACAACAAGTGTTGAACTAAATTATAAAGATTATAATACCTCTTATAATGGTTGTGGCAATAAGAAAGTGTATCACAAATTGTTGTTAAGTAGTCATTTTTTAATCTCTTTCTTCCTTAGTTTTCCTCCAATACTATACACATGACTCAATTTTTTGTGGCGATGTTAACTTTGAACCATATAGTTGTTGTATTAAATATTATTTCATGCATGTTTTACACACGGAGTTTGCTAATATTTTATTCTTCCAAATCTTATTGTAAAGAAATACACGTATTGTGTAAAAAATAGTTTTCCTTATATATTATAAATATCCAAAAGAATATATATATATATATATATATATATATATATATATATATATATATATATATATATATATATATATATATATATATATATATATATATATATATATATATATATATATATATATATATATATATATATATATATATATATATATATATATATATATATATATACATATATATATATATATATATACATACATATATATATATATATATATATATATATATATATATATATATATATATATATATATATATATATATGTATATCTATATATATATATATATATATGTATATCTATATATATATATATATATATATATATATATATATATATATATGTATATCTATATATATATATATATATATATATATATATATATATATATATATATATATATATATATATATATATATATATATATATATATATATATATATATATATATATATATATATATATATATGTATGTATGTATATATATATATATATATATATATATATATATATATATATATATATATATATATATATATATATATATATATATATATATATATATATATATATATATATATATATATATATATATATATATATATATATATATATATATATATATATATATATGTATGTATGTATATATATATATATATATATATATATATATATATATATATATATATATATATATATATATATATATATATATATATATATATATATATATATATATATATATATATATATATATATATATATATATATATATATATATATATATATATATATATATAAAATATAAAAATAATTATTAGAGTACTTTCATGAAAATCCGAAGAACTACTACTTTTCATGAAAATATAAAGGTTCCAATAGGTTAAAAAGTGTTTGATTGGTTTCTAAAATTGATTTATATGAGCATTTGTAAAAGAAAGAAAAAATTAGAGTATTTTTCATGAATCTATGTAGTTACGCAAAAAAAAAAAACACACTTAGGTTTAGCTAATTCTGTTTCTTTTGATAGACTATTTATGTTTAATTTTTTTTATTAAATGGTAATTTAGGTGTGTGGTTGTATTATTATTTAATAACAATTTTCTCTTTTTTATATGTAAAAAATCTTTTCATGTTAATGTATCACAATTAATTGATGATAAATGCAAGATAATAATAAAGACAAGTCAACAACATGTGAAAAATGTTATTTCTCTAATAAAAAAATATGTACACAAGAAAGTTTTTCGCCTATAAAAATGGGGAGATAGTGATTTCAAACTCATCTCTAAAAAAAAGTATAACTCTTTCATCCTTTTCTGTTTTTATTTTATGAAGATCACCACCATGACTTCAATAATATCAATCATTTTGATTCACACTTTATTTTATGTTGGATTTTCTGATGACCTACCACTTATCACTACACTTTTACGATTATCAACATCGTTCCTCCCATCTTTTGACATATACCACCAAATATCAAATCCATATTCCTCATATGAACCTCTAGAAATAAGTAAGAAAAAGTCTCCACCACCTCCCCCATCACCACCACCACCACCGCCACCTCCTTTTTTATTTGACCAATTTTTTCTAGCTCAAACATGGCCACCAACATATTGTAAAATTCATAATGATGATTGTGTCTCTCCAAAGCCAATAAAATTCACCATTCATGGATTGTGGCCTAGTAAAAAAGACACTGAGATACGAAATTGTGATAAAGCAAAAAACGTAGATGTGACTGTTGTAAGTTATACTTTATTTTATTATATTTGTCATGGTTTTAATTTAATTTTCTCTATTCTAATAAAAATAAGTAATTTTATTTTGTTTTCTTGTATCAGTTTAATCCAATATTGGACAAACTTGTTAAAGATTGGCCAGCATTATTTAAAAAGAAGTATCAAACAGATGCTAACTATGCATTATGGATTGATCAGTGGAATGCACACGGAACTTGTTCAACTCAATTGTTCGATTTTATTCCATACTTTGAGGAGACATTAAAAGTTTACAATCGAAATAGTATACAAGATATCCTTGAAAAAAGTGGTATTAAATCAGGTGGAAAGTATCCAAAACAAAATATTCTCAAAGCAATACAAACACATATTACATTTAAGCCACAAATTCGATGTGAACGGTTTAATAATTTAGATTATCTATATGAAATAAGACTTTGTTTAACAGCTAATGCAAAACTAGAGTATAAAAATTGTGATACTCCGTTCAGTGGTTGTCAAGATATAAGTAATGATTTATATTTCTGATAAATTATGATATCATTTGATGGATATTTGATCGTGGTGTTTTGGAAGTTCAATGGAGGCAGCCAATGGTGCATGGGAGCATGGAGTTTATTCTTGATTTTAGTTTTCTACTACGCAACTTTTCACTTGTTTTTTTTTATTTCTTTTTTTTTTTGTTTTGCTAGGTGTTGTTTTGTTTCTAAATAAAGAACATGTTGGCTCTCCATAATTTAGTTTGTACTTTTTATGTTTTTCTTTTTCACTCGTTGTGATAGAAGGAACTTATATAATAAATTTTCAAGTATTTAAAAATATCTTGTTTTAATTTTATTTATTAAATTTTAACATATTATTGTAAATTAAATTTGAGCTTAATTTTTAACATATGCATGGAATTGTGGAGATGCAACAATGTCATTAAATATGCTGATATTTATTATGCGATCCAATTTAGGGATATACATTTATTCTATGTTGAGGAATACGTTGATTTATTATGACATACCTAGCGAAAGATATAATAATTTATCCACGGGAAGGTATTTCAATTTACCATGATGATCTGGTCATGGAGATATGTCAATTTATCTAAAGATTCAGTTATAAGGCGTTTTAACGATTTGATGATTTATTCCCCTTTTACATTTGGTGGATGTGACGATTTGTCTTGCAATTAGGTCAATTTTATGAGTTTTTGATCGTCCATTCTATAATATGTATCATGTCGAATTAGAAACTAGAATGGATCAGGGTTTTAGATAGGAATTCGGTGAGATTGGTATCTCACTCTGCGCTGTAATCTTTTTTTTAGATATGCAAATGATTGGAATCGATTTGCAGCTAGAGATTTAACCTGAAGACTCGTTAGATCTATTTGTTTTATCTTTTGCTGCATATTTCTTTCTAATAAAAGATGTATCAGTTAGATTTTTTTTAATGTAAAAAAATTATTTGGTCTAATTCCAGACTTGTATATTGATGTATTTCATATTAGAAATTAATATTGTAATTATTATTATAGATATATAATTACGTATTCACGATTTAATTTTTCTTTGAATGTTAATTTAACACATAAAAAATAAATTCTTTCACAAAAATTAATTTACCTTTCAAATGTAATATATATGTAAGAAAAACATAGGGTTTTTATTTTAGGAGAAAAAAATTAATTAGCTGAAAATTTTAAAAAAAAAAACTTTTTTTTGAACGAATGATTTATGATTTTGTTAAAAAAAAACTTGAGATCAACATAATTTTTTATTTATAAATTTATTAGGTTGAAATTTCCTTAAAGCTATTAGAGTGTTATTTTGAGTGTATAGTTGTGAGTAAGCATCAATAATAAGACAATGACATGCAGTGTATAGTTGTGAGTGTTATTAATGACGAATGGTAAAGTGTCTTACACGAGTTATCAATATTTTATCCTCAAGTTATTTTAATAAAAAAAATTATTTGTTATTGAATCCGTGCAGTGAAGTAATGTTTTTTTTAGGTTTAGATAATTAATTGTGTTTGCTGGAGATAGACTTTATTTTGAGTGTATGGTTGTATTATTATTCAATAATAATTTCTTCATTTTAAAGGTGATAAATGTAAGACAATAATATTATTCAATAATAATTTCTTCTTTTTATAGGTGATAAATGTAAGACAATAATAAAGGCAAGTCAATAACTTGTAAAAAAATATTATTTCTTTAATAAATTAAAAAATATGTATCCGAAAAAGTTTTTTACATTAAGGAGATAGAGATTTCAAATTCATCTAAAAAAGTTAGTTGCGTTGCACTTTTTATATTTTAGATTATTTATATGAAATAAGTCTTTCTTTTACAACAAGTATTAAACTAGAGTATAAAGATTATAACACCCCTTACAGTGATTGTCGCGATAAGGAAGTGTATCTCTAATTATTGTCTAATGGACATTTGGTCTTGATGCTTTAGAAGTTCAATGGATACAGATAAAGATTCATGCGAGTGTGAATTTTATCTCTTATTTTACTTTGGAAGTTTAATAGATGCAGTTAAAACTACCTTGCAACCTCTCAAATTCTTTACACTCTATATTGACATGGTTGACAACTATGGGATGTTTCTATCAGACAAAAATAAATTTCAAATGAATAAATTATTTATAACAAAACAATAAATTATATGTTAAATACATCTAAATATTGATATAAAAGTTGAATGATGTCGCAAATGCCAAATTATTTGTATCATCCCATCCAAATTTACTTGTGTTCATCTTGCCAAAAACATGATTTAGCTTTGTTGACCACCTGTTCATCTTGTAAACTATTTGTTTCACACTAATAAAAAATTCAGGAATTTTATTTTTCATTGTCTTGCAAAGTTCTTCATGAGTTTTAATATTGAATATTTCATTCTCTCCACCTCTTCATCTTGTTAACTATTTGCTTCACATTTATAGAAAGTTCAAAAAATTTATTTTTCATTCTCTTGCAAACTTCTTTATGAGTTTCAGTCTTGAATGTTTCATTCTCTCCTTTGTTTTCAACCACCTCCATATCTTCTAATATAGCTAATAAAGTTTTTTCTTCAGGCGAACTATAATTACGTCAGACTCTACTGTTACTCATTGATTTCTCACAAATAATGGCATCTTCATTTTCCATTTATAAATACCAAAAAATTTAAAAAAACATTGAAATGCCCAATATCATTCAAAGTGCAACAAAATAAAATAAATATAATAGAAAAATTAAAATACATATATATGTTGACAATCACATGTTAATAAATTAAACTTCATGGTAGACATAAAAGAATTCGATAAAAAAATTATGCAATAACATGGTACTAAGTTCAGAATTCATTCATCCCAAAAATATATATCATATAAACTAGTTCTATCTAATGCATAAGTCTACTTCTCCATTATGTAAAAAGTTCTTATGCATGCGCATCTCTCATTTTAGTCCATTGATTGCTAGGTTCAATATTTCCTACTATATTTATTTTTTTTCTTCTAAAGGTACCTCGTCTTATACAAATGGAGAAAATTGTCTTAGATCCCTTAGCATCATATAATACTCTAGAGTCTAAACTTAATCATTTCCATCCTACTAATACATATGTAAATCTGATATCTTTTGTACAGACGCCTAAGATATTTGTTGCAAGTCCACCTTTTCTCGTACAAAAGCTATGTCTGTCAGAAACATTCAGAGTGACTGCTATGTAAGTCCCTTCTAAAGCTCTTAATCATCCCTAAAATTTCAAAAAAATGGTTCTAATTAGGTTGCTTAACTAGAATAATATATTGAGGTCATTGGGTAAAAATTTATTACCTTAAACCATTTCCATCTTTCGTCAGAGCAATCTTGAGGTACAGATTCTGGTTTTGCAAGTAAATCATTTTGTAATCTCAAAACCGTGGTCAACACTCAATGTCAATATCTATTAAGTGTTTGTCTTAATCTAGACAATCTAACTTGAATACTTCTACTTTTAGTATGATGTGCGAGTATATTTAAAAAATGCAACTTGTTCTTCAACACTTACTTGTCCGCTATGACCTTATAGACATGAACATAAGAAGTCAGCTACACCCGAGGATGCATCAAATTAATGGTAGAAAGTATGTTCCTAGAGCTTGTTATCAAATGATATCAAATGAGAAAGATTCTTAAAGACTCAAAATAGTGGAATTTAGGTTACTGTTAAGACCAGAAGTTATGCCAGGACACGAGCACTACAACATTTTTACTCTATAGCAACGCCTAATTTTCAGAAAGTAAAAAAATTGTTCTCGTAGAGAGTAATAGGCAACTAACTATATAATTTGTTGTTGTAGCATATTTAATTTTTTGTAAATTTTATACAACGGCCCGAAACCGTTCTGGTAGAGGACAATGAGAACGGCTCCTATTAGCAACGGCCCGAAACCGTTCTTATATAATTTTTAATTATTTTAATAAAATATTATTACTAACACCGTTCTCATATGTGTATACCTTTCATTCTCCCTCCCAAACCTGAGTAAAGTTTTCAGTTCCCTCCACACGCTTCTCTCAAACGATTCATTGTCCATCCCAAATACGAGCTTCATCGAACGATTTTCTCAAACGTACGAGCTTCTCCTTAACCCTAACATTCATCCCAAATTGATTCTTCATCTTCTCCCAAACCGTAACATTTTGTTCTTCATCCCATATTGATTCTTCATGGTACGATTCTCTCAAACCCTAACATTCATCCCAAACTTGTGTGTGTGTGTAAATGTTCTCCTTCAATTTTCTCTATTTTCTGCCGACAAATCTAACGGTTTTGTTTTCATATGTCTGAATTTTCAAACGTAATAGTGTGCGAGTTTTCAGCGGTGTGCGCGTTTTCGGTTCATCCTGGTAAAAAGGTAATAATTTGATTATAATTCATAGCCATGTGTTACTTTGGTGGGTCATTGAGTTAGAGATAGTTAATTAACTCAAATTATCTAGTGCTTCTCTGCATTTGTTCGGTGTCGGTGCCGCTTCTCTGCATCTGTACCCTCCAGAATAATGTTTGGGAAAGACTTCCCTTGACATGCTTTTGTTTCGTGAGTTCATCAACTCTTCAAATTCCAACTCTTCTTTCGTTTCTTCATCTCAGAATCACTTTCACGACAACTTTTCTTATTCTTATAACAACATAGGAAATTCTAGTACTGCTAGTTCAACCTCTTGTTCTGGTTCTGGTTCTACTTTTCTCCCAAGTTGTTGTTTGGTGAACTTCGGTTATGCTGTTATACTGTTAGTAAATCTAGTTGCTAATTGTTAGAACTGTTAGAAATTGGAAAAGAGTTAGGAACTGGTAGATAGTAAATCTAACTGTTAGTTAATGGTCTTTGTATGTAAAACTGTTAGTAGAACTGGTAGAACTGTTATGCTATTAGTAAATCTAGTTGCTAATTGTTAGAACTGTTAGAAATTGGAAAAGAGTTAGGAGCTGGTAGATAGTATTGAATTGTGATCAACTTGTAGGATGCATGCTTGCTCAAATCATAGGAACT